AATCTCGAATACCTGACCGTTCCTAATCATCCATACAGCCTGTTCAGGTAAAACTGTTATCTCTGCATTTCTATGTGTCTGAAGCATAGAACACTGTAATATATAATGCGTCAATGTATGTGATCTAGATAAACTACACACCCTGCATTCTTTTTCTTTCTCGCTTGCTGGAACGCCTAACTCCCAATAGTACTTATATCCAAGCCTGATTCTCATGTACACACTGTCTTTCCATTTGTTCTTGCCCTTCCCATAAGCAAAATCTGTGTTCGTCGCAAGATGCATATAGTGTCTCAGAGTATCGCTTTTCCTAATCGCTTCGCCCTTCCTGGCCTCGTCATAGTCTAACTGTGTCCTCTTGATATTGCTCTTTGCCTGTTTAAGAGTCCGCATGCAGTGAATGTCTACCTCATGCTTCCTGGTCGCCCCTTGGCGATCTCATCAACAGCTTCATTGAAGGTGACACCTACATGCGACGGGATCCACACAAATGCAATCACACGCCCCTGACCTCGCAATCTATGAGCTATCAAACGACACTCGCCAACTATGTGGTCAAACACAGGGTTCTTGCTGTTAAGTGAGTCCAGTGCTCCCCTGCTGTCCAAAAAGAAGTAGGAATCCTTATTAATGATTTCAATCTCTAAGCGCCGTCAGTATTGCCCATAGTTCAGCTTGTGTTGAAGATATGTGATTGCTCAGTCTCATCCCAGTGCTTGTGGTGACCACTCCGCTCCCAGTGAACTGTCTGATGATGACTCCGCACCCAGCTCTGCCATCTTCCAGGACTGACCCGTCACAGTAAACATGAGCAATGTCAAGTCGTGTTAGACTATTTATTTTATGGCTGTACGTTGCTTTAAGTTGACCTGGTTCATATATGGATTTATTCAGAGAGAGGGTGTACATCTATGTTAATATCCTGATCCTCCCATGGCGGCACCTTAGGAGGTGTCTGATGAGAATGACAATAATCCTTCAGGTCATAATATTGAATGCTATTTTTTAGTTCCTTCATATATCCTCGCTTGCCTTGCCTATAAAATGATATCATATTGTTAAAACCGCTGGCCATATCTCTCACTAATTTCTTTCCACTGGTCCCTCTCATTAATCTGATGGCCACTATTGCACTGATCTCTCTCACTCTCTGCACAATGCTTTGCAATCCCGTCTCTGCTCTCATTATATCTATCCTGGTATTCCTTTGACACCCGAGGATTATTCTCATAGCTTCATTTTGTATGGTTTCAAGTTTCCGGAGTCTCCCTTGACAGGCTATGGAAAGTGCTGGTGCTGCATAATCCACCAAGGCTCTTATCGTACTAATGTTGATTAGCCTCAGCAAGGGCACCCCAGCTCCTACACCGCGACAAGCAAATGCTCTGAGCGGCCGAAGTCGCGCCCTACACTGTCAATATATGATTCACCTCAGCATCTTTACTTGACGCAAAGCCAATGTATACTCCCAGATATTTGTATGCCAATACTTTCTCCACCTGTTTGTCATTTAAACTGTCTCACGTTGCCCCTTTGTTTGCTCTGAAATTTTGTCTTTTCTTCATTGATAACCAGCCCTAATGTTTGAGCAAGTTTACTAAAGTTGTTCAGCGCCGTCTGTAAACGGCGCTGTGTAGTCCCTTGTATCAATATATCATCTGCGTATATAATTGGCTGGACGCCCTGAGGATAGCTCTCTGAGGCTATTCTGTTCATCAGTACGTTAAAAAGTGTTGAGCTGAAAACGCCTCCCTGTGGTGTTCCCAGCTCAAGATTTTTTTCCTCTGACAAACAGCCTTGAAACCACACACAAGCTCTTCTCTCAGACAAATAGTCACCGATCCACTTAAGCAACGTTCCCGTGACCCCTAATATTGCCAACTCATACATAATCACTTCTCCGTTGGCTTTATCAAAGGCTCCCTGTAAATCAACAAATACTCTACACTTTTCTGCATCGTTGGATAAACACTAAATTAGGCAATCAGATGTTCCCTTCCCTTTCATAAACCCGTACAGATTACAAGAGAGTTTATCTCCAATCACATACATTAGTCTGTTTGATAATATTCGTTCCATCTTGCATAAGCAGGATGTCAGAGATACAGGCCTGTATCCACCTGACGATTTAGGAATTATTATTAGGCCTTCGGCAATCTACCTTCCAAATAGCTCATGTTAAAAAGATCTAATAAAGGGCTGTTCTCCATGCTTACTAATGCATTTAGAATGTTATATGTAACGCCATCTTCTCCTGGCGATGTACTTTTCCCCCTTATGATTGCATTTAAGAGTTCATGTATAGTTATGGTCTGACAAGATACTGCAGTAATATTTAAGGATGACTGTATTTGTTCTTTTCGTTCAATTTCCCATGCGTCTAAAGCATCGCGAGTGTGTTGTGGCAATGAGACCAGCGAAGATGCCTTCGCCCATTTCTGAATATGTTTGTTTGCCTCCTTCTCTGGGTGTGGGTGACCGATGAGGTTATTTGTTTTGCCCCTCACCTTATTGACGTGATGCCATATTTCTTTAAGATTTTTGCATTCCTCGATGTTTTGCGCAAATTCTTTCCAGTATTTCTCCCTTACTTCTTTCCGTTTTTCCCCACACATTCTTGATATATCAAGGAGTATATCTTTGTCCTGTTCCTTTTTTGCCTTTTTGTACCCACTCCCTGTGTGCCAACCTTAGCATGTATGTCCATTCCTTAAGTGTCTTATCACTGCAGTACCTGTTTTTCCTTCCCCCATGACCCTTTTCCTTTCTGTGTGTCTTGGGTGTTGTGGGTAAACATCTTTCTATCGCACTCAACAAATCCCGGTTGAACCTATCTAAACATATGGGTGAATAGTGTTTATACCAATTCTCTATGTTGTAAACAAACTGGTCTTTGTCGTTTACATTAAGTGAAAGCCGTTTTCTCTGAAATTTAACTTGTATTTTCCCTACAGCTAACTTAACATACAACGCGAAATGATCACTGAGTAGTTCACTTACCACTTTACATTCTCCTGTCTGCCAAGCAGGCAGGCGTAATCAAGCCGTCCACCCTTGATGTGTGTTGCCTCTTTGCCACCCAGCAAGCATGCATCAGGCCTATCCTTTAAAAATTGGTAAAACCTCTTACCGCTAACACTGATATTGCCCCTCTCCTCTAATTGCGGGTGTCTAGCATTCAAGTCACCCATTATCAGAGCAGAGTCAGAGTACATGCAGTCAGGTAAATATCTGAGGTCAAAGGATCTCCCAGAGATGTATAAGTTGACATTATACCTTTCACCTTGTTGCAAATGAAGTTTCACACACACACTTTCTATGCCGTTAGTTCTGCACGGCGTCTCTGTTAGTTCAGAGGGTATTGAGCTTTTGACATAAGTTGACACTCCCCGTATTCGGTCACCGGCATGAAGGTGGTACGCTCTATAACCATTAAGTTTGAGAGTATCACCTTTCGTGTCCCTGGTTTCCTGGAGACAAACTACGTCAATATTGTTTTTCAGTACAAAGTAGTGAACGTCTGTAACTCTGGTAAGCAAACTACTGACATTCCACGATAATATTCTAATACTACGCTCCATCAGGTTTTGATTGTGTCCTTATGCTTTCTACTACTTTTTGAATAGTTCCCCATAGCTCTTGCATAATTTCCTATTTTTCAGGTTTTCCTTCTCCGGATCCTTACATTTTAGGAGGACTGACCGGAAGACCGCAGAGGATGTTCCTTCCACTATGCTTGATTTTATTGTCCTTTCTTTACCCTTAATGGTAATTTTTCTTTCTAATTTTTTCCCCTTGCAAGTCCACTAATAGTTTCACTATTCATTTCTTTCTCGGTCTCCTCTTCCTTTTTTTTGTTCCTTTTCTGCAAGCCGTTTTTCTAATGCGTCGATCCTCTTAATCATGGCCTGCATCATCTGCGTGAGTGCGGATATTGCCTCCCCATCATTATTGCGCGGCACTTCCTGCGCCTGATGTTGCTCCTGCGTTCGCTTGTCTTCCTTAGGCACCACGGCCGGTGGGCCCTGCAGCCAGGCGTTCGGGACAGGAGCTGCTGTCTTCCTCGGCACCTCTGCCTGCATAGTGACCGGCCCTGCCTCCCTCGGTGCCTCTTCTGCGACTCCTTGGTGGGGAACGGCCGAAGTTACCTTCCATTGAGGCCTCGCTCTGCATGCCAGAGATCCGGCATTGTGCGGGCCTCCGCAATTGCAGCAGCAAGTCTTAATTCTGTCTCCCTTTTCTATTTTGGCCCGGCAGATTTTAATTTTAAATAATTACCTGAGGTTTGTCTTAGCCTAATTAATATTCCATAAACTTTTGGTGATCTGGATCATTTGGCAATCCTACCCCTCATATGGGGGGGGGGGTTACATTTTCAAAATGTTTCGCTAATAGATCAAACTATGTATGGTGAAAAGATAAAGAAAAGAAAATACACCATATGAACGACATGTTTATTTATTTGTATGAGAATTTTATTCATTATCGTTTTTTGAACGTTTGCCAGATTTTAAAAATTATTCCGAAAAAATGAAGGTCTCATCTTATGTGAAATTTAATAAGCTTTCAGAAAATAACTTCATTTTTTAATTATCGCTAATCATTTCGTCACAATTGCCGATTTTCTAAGGTAACGTGAAAAAAATAATATTTCAGTCGACATCGAAAATGGCTGCTACCACCTAAAAAATATCGATCGGGTCTTAAAATTTTCAGGGGAGAACCAGGGGCCTAGGAACTCCTTGAAAATGCATTTAACTCAATTTCCACAAGATGGGCGAAATTCGCCGAAAAGACCATACGGTCTCCTTCACTGACCTTTTCTAACACTAACAATTATTCACATGCAAAGCCCTTACTTTGCCTTGATGTTTCCATCGCTTTGCTTTCATATGTAATTTTGTCTTTCAGTTTCCAATGCAGTATATTTTCTATAAATTCTCATTGGAGAAAAAAGGGAATGAATGGTTCATCTTCAATAGGTAGTAAAAAAATATATA